AGATATAAGTTTCTCAACCTGTATATATTATATGTATGTATATGTATAATAAACGCTACGGCTCTTTTATACAGATTTATATCCGAGTATACGGCTGGATTGATGAGAAAAATATTACCTCGCTATATTATTTCACAGACCAAAAATAATTCTCGTCTGGTCTGCTCGGTCTCTTTCGTAGGGCGTACAACTTAAATTAGAAGTAGTAGTAGTGGTAGTAGTAGTAGTAGTAGTAGTAGTAGTAGTAGTAGTAGGAGTAGGAGTAGTAGTAGTAGTAGTAATAATAGTAGTAGTTTATAGCGAAAATATGCCCTTATACACTCCTCCTCTGTCCCCTGAACGATTTAATCCTCCATGGACATTATTCAAAAGAAATGCTCGTAGAGAGTTTCCTTACATATAAATCACGATTGTGTGCCCGCCTGGAAATCGCATTGCGGCCCATGGAGAATTAACGACGGTCTTTCCTTTGTGCGCGCGTTTATCGAGAACGCTCGAACTCGTTTGCACGCGTCTGAATATCCTTCCGTCGAAAAATCCCTATTCATCTCTACATACAAGAAGAGGGATAAGCTCGCAGATAAACAGAAATTTTACGTGAGTGGAGCTTTTACAAAAGACTGAAGGACTCATTTTCGAACTAGAAGGATCAGAGTAGCGTCACACGCCTATTTCTTCGCGTTACATACACATGATTTACCGTTTTAATTTATGAAAATATCGAACAAACGCGCACGATTTGCGATCGTGGCACAAACGACTCGTTCTTCTAATTACGAAGAAGCTCGTACGAGTTCTCTACTTGTGAATTTTCCTATTATCCTTATCCTTTACATTAAATATATATATATATTTATATATTTATATATTTATAATATGTATATATGTATATATATATATAATTTACGGAATAGCGAAAGATGTCAAATCAGTTCGGAACTTGCGGCTACCGGTGGAAAAATAATACGCGGTATATCGATCACTTTTCTTTCCGCCGGCATCGTGCAAAGTTGAGATCATATAGCGTGCTTGTGTGTACGATTTAAAATGTACGAGAAATAAAACTGTTTACATCTTCCTGACGAAGGTGTTTTGTCATGGACCACAAGTCGTCTTTAATACGGCTCATGTATCTTATTTTCCTTTTCTACATTTCGACCCGAAGCGTCGCGCATGGTCGTCGTTGCTGTACGCTAATTATGCCACAAATGCCTTAACATTCGCTCGAATATATTGTAAATTTTATTGAAGACTCCCGGGCGTTTATAAGCTGTGTGCAAATTGACACACTTTGCGACTAAACCAATCGACGTTTTTTTTCCATTCTCTCGGGCGCATTTACAATGTCATCTGCATATATCATTTCACTATAAAAAAAAGAGTATATTCCGATATCCAGACATCGATAGGATTTTTGCTTTATAGTAACTTCTTGATGTAAATCTGAGTGAATGGGAATAGGAGCTTAGATGAAAATGCAAATTAATTTTTTAAGAGCCTTCAGAAATAAAATCAAAACTCGTAATTAGTCTCTTAGGAATTTTGTTAGAATCCTTCGAGAATCTTCTAAGAATCTTCTTCTATGTCGGACTTTGTCATCAAGATCAAGGAATCGATCACGCGATGGGGAATCTAGAGTTGGGCATCTTATCATGTGGCGCGACACGTTACCTATCTCATATATTTTTCTTTTATATTTTATATCAATATATCCTGAGATTACCTTAAATCGATAGCAGACGTTAAATGATCGCCTTGAAAATTCACACCCCAATGACATTATCTAGATTCAGGGCAAAGCGAGGTATTCATGTGTCTTTCCTCGTCGCACAGTCTTTAAAAGTACTCGCGGATCTGCGATTTTGAACAACCTGACAAAATTTTTCCTGAACAGATGTATGTTAATTGCTTTAAATAAAAAAAGAGTGGTTGAAGGTAGCAGACGACATTGATACATTGATTTAGCGAAAGTTAGGGGCATTTATGACTTGTCTAGAGTACAATTGTGTAGAAAATAAGAGGAGAACGCGGCGGTCCTCCTTTTTCTCTTGTTTAATTCCTCGAAACTACTAACTCGGTGGTGAACTAGCGCTTCTAGATATTTAAAAATACATCGCTTCTTTTGTGGATGATCCTTTTTCGTGGCGCGAAAAGCTAACTACTTTGTTTTCTTCTTCTTCCTTCTACCCCCCTCTCGCGCGCAGTTTGTTCGAATCGGGGGTCGAGGAGTTGAAAATTAAAAGTAAATCCGTTTTTATTAAAGAACACTTGCAGGTAATCGCAGGTGACGCGATTTCCTTTGCCTTTCAGCCCAGTGTAGCTGTAGTGACAGTACCTCAATTATTCCGTTTCCGCTAATTTTGTCTTGTATAATATTAGTTTAACAATGGAAAAGATATTACTCTTAATCCTCAAGTTCCTCGGATCGGGCTAATATACAGGGTGGTGGTACGGTAAGCGCTCTGGCACGTTACGTCGGCTGTGAACGCCGTGATCAATTGACGAGACTGTGAGTGAAGGTACATTTGTCTTAAAGTACGATTAACCTGATGAACAAGAAGCTCTCCTTCTCTTCTACGGTTGGTCTCTATTCTCTCCCCTTTCCGAAAATCATATCTTGCCTTCTCATTTCATCACCGCGTATCATCGCCCTGCGAGCGGCGCACAACTCTCGCGTATATCTGTTTCCTCTACATTTTTTCCTCGCTAAAGCTCGAGAATTTTGCTAACAAAAATCACAGTGCGCACACACACATTGACCTCTTATCGCAGAAATATGATTTAAATGATAAACAAAAATATTGTATATTTCATGAAAAGTAGTGGACGTCGCACGCGAAAAAACCACAATTAAATAAAATTCGAAGATTTCACTTTTAAACCCGAGACATAGATCATAGGTCACCGTCATATTTCTATTCCAGTTCATTTTGCAGACCCTTTACTTTTAAATTCTACATTTGTAAATTTGGACAAATGATAATCGTCCTAGATATTAAACTTCCATGATCGAGGCTTTAATTTTATGTAACACCTAAATTTTAATAATTGATCATTTCATTTAACATGCATGGTTGGCAGTAGAGATCATGCTACACTCTAGAAATATTCTTACTAATTTCTCCTTTTTCTTTTATGTCCTGATCTCATAGATTCGCATACAAAAATGTACAAATGATTTGAGCAGTACCACGCATAGCAGTAATGTACCTTTATACGTATTTTCCTAACAATGATTAATCAACGATAGGTAACCTCTCATTCTTATACGATCCTTAATACATACGATAAAGAGCGAATCTCTCACTTTATCTCAGCGGTTTCGTAAGTGGCAGTGAAAACATATTACGCATAGTCTTACACTCCGAACTAATCGCGAAGAGGACGAAGAACGAAAAACAAAAATTCAAACATTAGATTTCAAGTCCACGATGAAAAGAAAAACGCTGTTCGCGACACGATGTCTAATATTTAGAGATTTCCAATCTCAATCACAAATCACAATAAAATCGTTATAATTACAATAATAAATAAAACAATGATAAGAAAAACCAAGTCGAATCCAGTAAAAGATGTCCAACGCGCTAAAACGAGAACGATCGCATGACGATGCCGCGGGCCGATTATTACGTCTTTTAATAATCAGAGACAGTCTTCTCTGGCCAATACCCGAGAGCTATATAGAAAGATAATCGTGTGGTCGCCGTTGCATATTTACAGGGAATAATCTGGCGACAGTGGTGATATTTTTTTTTTATAGATAAGCGAGTTAGAGATTTGTACAAACAGGGCTAACTAACGAGCGAGCGAGCCGCAAGCAGCGCGAATCAGTCTTCGCGTCTACCGAGGGCTGCCCCTCCCTTTTAGTCTCTCTTCTTTTCTTGGGATCGGCTCATGAGGCTCTGTCGTGATAATCATGTCCCTAACAGCGAATTCGAATGGTCAGATGTAGATTAGAGTGCATATTAAAAACGCTGCCGTGTACACAAATTAAAAATATACATAAGTGTGTATGTTTGTATGTGTGTGTATAATGTACGTATGCATGTATGCATACATATGTATACATATGTGTATATATTTATACATGTACAGGATGAGGTAAAGCATGACAAGCTAATGTCTCTGAAAACATTGCTATTAGAGGAAGAAAGAAATATTTAACGGAGCACATTCTTGGACTAAAGCAATTTTACAGTAAAAAATAATGCATCCTCCAGATCTAATCATTTTCACTCGAAATATTTTTCCCTAAAACTCGATATCTCGAGAGAAATTACTGTCAAGCTTTCACACCATCCAGTATATTTTCGGACGGTCGCCTACGAGGAGCTCTTAAAGAACCGGTCCCGCCTCTTTTCGCGTAGCTCTCAGGTACATGGATAATGCTTATCGTATGAAATGTCTTGTCTCGCATTAACACAAGGACTAACACTAGCAGTAGTGATCATCACCATCCGGAAAGAATTCGCATTTCCCGGATGGTAGTGATCACTACTGCTGCAGCGTGCTCAGGAAATCCAAATATATGTGTTGCATGTAACCTCAGGAGGTCTGGCCAGTCTGTGCCTGTAACATCGTCGGTACTATCGACGACGATGATGAGGTTGTAGTAGTCGTGTTGGTAGCGGTGGCCAGTGTACAAGGTGGCATGTGCAAAGTAAATCCATCGTAAACGTCCATCAAGTCGCGCATACGATACTCCTCCAGACAGACGAATCCTTCCAACGAAGGAGATTGTTTACGTGCACAATCCATGCAGTGCACTACATGACGTTTTTCCTGTTCACGGATAAACAGGATGTTGAACACTTCAATCTGCAAAAAAAAGTTGAACATTCTTTTTTAATATGATAAACTTATTAAAGCGTGCAAAGATAAAAAATATCATATAAATAAAAAAGTAATACATGGACATTTTATAAAAATATACACGTATGCTAACAAGAAATTATATATAACTGTATAGTGCTGATTGCACAAGATAACTTAAAAATTACCAAAGATAAATTTAAAAAAGGAAAAATTGAAATAAAATGTTGAGGCTATAAAATTTCATATATTAATTTACCGATTATTACGTAGTTATTGTACAGAGTTTCGAATTTAATTAAATTAAAATCCCGAAAAAAAGAAAATAAAAATCTAGACAGCACATTAGTTTTCAAGATCATTAGCATAAGAAAGCATACCTCGCACTGGCCGCAATAATGTGAGGCCTCGTTCTTGCCGCGGCCGTGGAATCGCACTTCTACGTCTTTGCTCTTCACGAATTCCAGTATTAAGCAACACTGTCTCATCGTTCGCAGAAGACAGTTCTTGATCAGCTCGAATAGTCGTGGATCCGACACCTTGATATTACGTGCTAAATTCCACGAAAGATGCACCATCGGCACAATCGACTTGAATGCCTGCAGCTTGTTCCATTCGTAACGCTCGATTGCGAGCTGATACTGTCTGGCAGTGAGCGGGCCGACGTTCCACGCAATATTGTTACACCAGCCAACCGCCTGCACCCAGTGTACACAACCCGCGTTCACCCACACGAGGTCGCCCGGTCGCTGATGGAACCTGTATACTGGGATATTCTCCTCGTACAAATCGTCTAAATTCGGCCACCAGCTACCGTGCAGATAACTGATGCCATTGCGCTCGCAGAGCGAGCATATCACACCCCAATACGCATCTGGTACTGCAAACCATTCGCAGTCGCCCGGTCCGATGTTAATGTTAATGGAACAAAAGTTATTGTTCTCTTGGTGTCCAGGCGTTCTGCTACCAGGTACCTGAAAACAATTACATAAATTAAATCACATTTAGAAACATTCAAAACGTTTTGTTTCATAATTTTATTTATTATTTTATTATATTAAATTTTTAATTATACCTTCATATACAACTGTACGGTGTTCATTCCTAAGATCACATGGCCTACATGGCTGAGCATATTACCGGCCGATACCACCCTGGCGAAGGCCGGTAACTTCATTAATTCATGTAATTGTGGCTTCCACTTTCTCTCATCTGACAGATCTACATTGGTACCAAAGCGCAGCATCTTGGTTCCCGGTCGGCCGGCTAGACCAAAAGTATTCTTTTTACGTCGGACCGTCTGACCGGTGCTGTCCTTCGAATCCGAATCTGACAGATTAGAAGCATGTACGCCGCCTTGTATCTTCTCTTCTCTCAGGCTTTCCTGAAAACTGGAGGCCTGATATTGCGCGTATTTGGCGATCGTCGTGTGGCTGCGGTGACTGATGCAGTTCCAGACTTTCTTATTGAGCGCCGGATCCCAGTTCTCCTCGCTGGTCTGCTGCATTTGTGTGCGTACCTCGATACCGTGATCTGGATTCGCCTCGACCAGAGTCTTAGTTGAGAAAAGGCCCAGATCGAGCTTGAGCGCTGCCGCGAGGCCACGTATCACAGCAATTGGGTGTTTCAAACAAAATTCCTGCAGATGCGGGCTAAAGGCATCCTTCTTGTTCTCCAAATAGACGCTCGGTGTAGGCGGCAACAGTTGTTCCTTCGTCAATCGTTGAGTGGGCGGATCCGGCGGCGCCGGCGGTGGCGAACGATCGCTCAGTATCGAGCAATTCGGCACTCCTTTTAGCCCCTGACCCTTGCATGACTCGATCACTGTCTTGGCATCCATTTCAATGTTTAGCTCATATTCCGGTTGCGATTCGCATAACGATTCGAGCTTCAAATTCATCATCGGTTCTGTCTTGGAAATATTGGTCGCCTCGCTCTTGTTTATCGTTGTCGCCGTCATCGTCGTGTTAGAGGATAACGATGACGTCGTCGTCTCGCACTTTACCGTCGTTGTCTCACATTTCACCGTATTCACGTTCGTCGTCGCGGTCGTCGTCATGGCCGTCGTCGTCACAGCATCTGCCGTCGATTTCGACTGCGTCGACTGGGAAGCCGCTTCTTCCGACTTTTCCAGTTTCACCTCTGTCGCGTTCTCGAGATTCGACGGCGAGAACGGACCGGAGCTCAACGTGCCATTGTCACTGATGACACCGCCGCTCGACGGTTCTTCCTTCACGACAGTTTCCAAATCGTCAGAACCGAAGTGTTTGAGAAGGTCTTCCGCCAGCGATGTGGCTATGTCCTTCTGTGACAGCAGCGCCTGCAACTCCTGATCCGTCACACCCAAATTGTCCTTATTCGCTGGAGCCGTGGAGCTCTCCGAATAACTGCTAGTCGCTGATGTGACCTGCGTGTAACCTTGAGCAGCATACTGATTCGGCTGCTGCTGATACTGGCCACCATACTGAGCACTGCCGGTGATCTGTTGTCTCTGCGACGGATAAGTTGGATCGGAGGCGGATTTGTAAGGCATTCCTGGTGTCTGCGTAGTGTTTCCGGTTGCCACCGTATTGTAGCCAACATTGGTGTCGGAGAAACCCGTCTGCAGCGCAACCGTACCTCCTTGCTGCAACTAAATGTTGATCAATTATATTTTGACAGACGCTTTAGAAACATTCATTACCACTTCTAAAATATTTCCCGCAGTTTCCTGGTTAAATAAACATTGTTTCCTTCTTATTTCAACCTCAAATAAGGTGGCAAAAAATGTTTTACAGGAATCCTTTTAGGCGAAAAATGACGACTTTTACACCCCCTCCTTTGTTTGCAAAAGTGAGAGACTGAATATATTTACCGGTTGTTGCGGTATGCCATAGTTTTTTACGACACCCGATGGTTGGCCGAGGTTCTGAGGATGGTTGTATCCCGTAGGATAACTGGATTGTCCCGCTCTCAGGCCTCGCTGTCCTACTTGTTGCTGTTGCCTGATCTGTTGCTGATATTGCTGCATCGCACGATATTGGTGCTGCAGCTGGACAAGCACAGTCTGCTGTTGCGGAGTCAGGCTATTGAGATTTTGTTGTAAGAAATGCAGCGTTTGTAGTTGGTGCGGCGATAAGGAGAACGGTGATGCCCGTTGCTGTGGTGCGGCCGATATCACTTCGTCGGTCTATCGAGCAAAATTGAATTTAATTAATTTGAAATGTTTAATTCAAGTTGCCTGTTCTCTAATTTGTTTTTACTTATAATAACTAACTTCTTTACAAATATTTTATCGGGACCTACTATATTTATAATGCTTTATCGGGACCTACTATATTTATAATGCTTTAGCATTTAGACTGCGCTAAATTATATAGAAAAGGCAAGAAAATATTTGACCAAAAATATTTAAAGACAAATATTTTTTCTAGAAAATATCTGTCTTCTATTTTAATGCATTCTGTACCTTAAATCGCTTAGCATTCTGTCCCTGGGCTTGAGGATAAGGTGGAGGCGGTCCAGTCGGTGCGGCACCATATTTGTACGAAGGCCCACCGGGTTGCTGCTGTTGCTGCTGCTGCCGGCTAGACATCTCTGCGCTGATCGGCAGATTCCAAGCTTCTTCGATTGACGGCAATTGCCGCCTCCTGGATAAAAGAATAAAAATTATATGAAAGCAGGAAACAAGCTTCATGACTACAAAATCAAAGAAAAGTACAGTAAAGGTCGACTAAAGTTCCTTATATTAACCTTTAGCTCACATAATTTTGTTTTTATATTTTATTTTATTATTCTCTCAGATGATATTTCTTTATTATACAAGGTGTTGAAAAAAGATGACACCAAAATTTAGGTTTGTAATACTCGTGAAAATAAACCGAAGTCTTAGTAAGCCTTACTCCAAAAAGCATTTATTTCTGAGTTATAAATCATTTTCTACTCCAGACAACATGCATGTTTAAAAAGACATCTTATTCAAGATGTCTTAAAGATATCTCACTCATAAAATCTTGAAAACTTATATGCAAATATCGCATCATCTAACCGATAGATTGCTTTTGATGGGATCCGTTTCTTGTACGTAAAATATGATGAATGTATAAAAACAATATATGTATAAATCACGATACGGCACAATTTGTATCAATTATATCGTGAAGTCCACTCTTATAATAAAGTAGCATGCTTTTTAATTAATACCCAGACAGCACAATGTCCCAAATCTGGACATAAGACATCTTTAAGACGTCATTAAGATGTCATATCACAAGACGTCTTTAAACTTTTGTCTCGATTTTGGACATTGTGCAGTCTGGATAGTATTTTAATTACTACAAGCAATACTAAGCTTTTCTTTCATATTTTTCTTCTTGTTAACGCATTACCGTATTACTAATTTTTATTTTACAATATGTCTAAAAGTCGTCAATAATAAAACTTTGTAAGACGCTTCAAAAACGTCATAAATCAGGATCTAAGACGTCATAACGACGTCTTTCTGATAGTTTTATGACGTCATAATGTTCTCTGGGACAGCAGATGTTCGATATGCCATCCATTCATTTCAACATACAATTCGGCACGCATTCTCATTGAAGATCGAACATGTTCAAAAATTCTAGATTTATTTCAGACTTGTTTACAAGAATTTTCAACTTTCTGTATCAGTTTATCCAATATGTCAATCGATGTGGCGTACACTATGCTCTTCAAGTGTCTCCATAAATAAGAGTCTAACGGATTTGAATCCGATGAGCGAGGTGGCCATGCAACTGGACCGCCACATCCTATCCACTTTTCTTGAAAACTATTGCTTAAATGTTGTCTAAAAACAATCATGAGGAAATGCGCAGGAGCACCATCGTGCGTAAACACCACATAAATTGACATAATGAGTGAACTGATACAGAAAATTGAGAACTCTTGTCAACAAGTACGAAATAAACCTAGAATTTTTGAACGTGCTAGATGTTCAATGAGAAAACGTGCTAAATTATGTGTTGAAATAAACGGAGGGTACATCAAATATCCGCTGTAGAAAATATTTTATAACTCTATAAAGAGATAAATGGTTTTTGGAGTAATGCTTACTGACTTTTCGATTTGTTTTTTCCCAAGTGCTCCTAAAATTGCTCCTAAAATTTGGTTACACCTTTTTTCAACACCTTGTATAAATCCAATCATTATTATTATATTACATTACTATTATCAAATATCTATTAGCGAATATAATAAACAATATAATAAACAATTTTTGTTATTTTAAAAATTTTACATTAACTTCAAACGTGTAACTCATATATATTCATCTATTTATCTCAATATTTAAAGAGCTACATGTTATAATGAAATTATAATGGGATTATAATGTGTAATTTGACTTTTCGACGACGACTCACTTGGTAGCGACGGAAGGCATTGGTGCTTGACTTAGGTTTCTCTGCAGAAAGTCGATGCGGTGATGGAGGGACGGGTTCATCGAATTGTTACCACCGGACTTAACGCCACCCAGACCCCCGAACGGACCCGTGCAATTCGCTATATTGCTGTTTCCCCTACGAGTAAAACAGAAAATCTTAACACGCTAACTTAATAACTCAATGTAATCATTTGAATTTTTGAGATTATCAAATGTAAACCCGACCTTCAACTTTTACGACACATGCCGATCATTCTTAGGTGAGATAAGTGATGAAGATCCGGTTGCTCCAAATTGTTGTTAAACTAACTAATAGTTAGATCATGTCTATCTTTGTCTAATTTAAAGGAAAAGACATATGATTTAACTATTAGTTACTTTATCAACAGATTGGAACCATCGTCCTCTGTTCGTGTTACCTGCCCTTTTTGCACTTAAAATCTTCGCTTTCTTTAGGCCTGTTCTTTTTAGCTAAACTTCTTGCACATTTTATCTTTTCTCTTTTTCTCTCCAATGTGAAAAGAAAAACAGGGAAGATGAACCGTGCAAAGAAGTTCAGCTAAAAAGCCCAGTGCATATTTATCTCGTTTTAAGTGCAGGAATTTTTGGGAATTTTAAGCAACACGAACAAATCTATTAATACAAAACATAAAAGTGCACATGCCGTGACATATACAAATGATAACATAAGAAAAGAAAATAACACATAGTATAATTTACAGAACCATAACGAGTGATTTAATATAATTGCACACTATTCATTTACTTAACTTTTATCTCTTAAGAAGTTACATACCTTTGACAGGTCTTAAAATTAGGTAAAAATTGAAATTATTTTCCAAAAATTTCAATAACAAATATTAAAAATTGAGGTCCTGGCAATTTTTCAACACTATTTTTCTTAAAACACTACTTTTGATATCAAGAATATTTCAGATCAGTGATTCAGAGACTAGTGAACCGATTTGTATGCCATTTTTTACAGCTACTTTCAAAACAATAATCTAGTCCTTCACGTAGAATTTTTCAATTTATGGTTTAGTTTTTATAAATAAAAGAATAACCGATTTTTAGGTAAAAAAATTGCATTTTTCACTACAAATCGCTGCTATTTTTCGAAAAATTAATATTTTCAAAATCGGCTATAAAAAAAAACTAGTTTTCTTCATCTAGTATCTAGTTTAATGGAAAATTTTTGTTTTTTGTTTTACATGCGAAGGGGCGGAGATATCTCTGGTACTGTGCAAACGCCATTTTTACAAACATTATTCGAGAAAATAGCTGCAAAAAATAGCTGCTTTAATATTTTTGATATTTTTTGCTTCCTCATAGAGGAAGCTTTGTTTTCGTGAAGTTTGTATATGAACCTTTGATTGTGTATAAAGTTGGATCTAATCAACCAAATTTAAATGATTTATATATGAAATAGGGGTAGAAGAAACCAACAAAGAGATTGGTTTTTGAGTTTTTGATGCCAATATGTTCAAAGTGTTCTAAAATGTCGAAATATTGCATTAAAATCGCATGTCCGTATGTATGTATGTATGTATGTATGTATGTGCAGATTTGATGTCCGTGATTGCTCTAACTTCTGTAAATATTGAGATATTGGGCTGTTTTTTTTTTTAATCGATAGCGTATCATTCAAGAAAGGTTGGTATTGAATTTGGCGATGATCGGTAAAGGGGTTCTTTTTAAAAAAAATTTTGTATTTTTTTAGAAATGTCCATGGTTGCTCTAACTTCCGCAAATTTGGAGATATTGATCTATTTCTAATTTTATTATATTTTTCAGTCTTTTCTACCCCTATTTCATATATAATTTTTTAAGATTTGGTTGATTCGACCCAGCTTTATACGCGATCAAAGGTCCTTAATTTTGATCGCATATAAAGCTAAGTCTAATCAACCGAATTTAAAAGAATTATATATGAAATAGGGGTAAAAAAGACCGAAGTAAAAATTGTTTTTTGAGTTTTCGATGCCATTGGTTGATTAGACCTAGCTTTATACGCGATCAAAGGTCCATAATTTTGATCGCATATAAAGTTAAGTCTAATCAACCTAATTTAAAAGAATTATATATGAAATAGGGGTAGAAAAAACCGAAGTAAAAATTGTATTTTGAGTTTTCGATGCCAATGTGTTGCTTATGTTCAAAAACGTCGAATTTAAATTTATTGAAGATCGGTTTTGAGGATCGGCTATCCATCAAATAACTTAGGGTAGATTCAACACCAAATTCAACACCAATCTATCTTCAATAATACTCTATCCATAAAAAAAAGTGTGCAAGTAGAAACTTGCACATTGCTTCCTCATGATTTTTAAGTGTGCAAGTAGAAACTTGCACGTTGCTTCCTCATAGTTTTTAAATGTGCAAGTAGAAACTTGTACATTGCTTCCTTATAGTTTTTAAGTGAGCAAGTAGAAACTTGCACATTGCTTCCTCATAGTTTTTAAGTGAGCAAGTAGAAACTTGCACATTGCTTTCTTATAGTTTTTAAGTGTGCAAGTAGAAACCTGCATTGCTTCCTCTATGAGGAAGCCAAATTAATAAATATCCACTAATAAATTATGCATACAAAAACAGGCTTCCTCATAGAGGAATCAATGTGCAGGTTTCTACTTGCACACTTAAAAACTATAAGGAAGCAATGTGCAAGTTTCTACTTGCTCACTTTTATTGAAATTTTCGAGAGATATTCTCAAAAGACTATTCTACAAGACTTGTATTTTCATTTTTTAATAAAACATAATTTTACCGGCAATAAAAATTCGTTAATTTCGACTTAGTTTTAGACCTGTCAAGGAAATGTAATCCCTTAACCCATTAAATCCTAGGAAACCCCTAAGTGTTTTTTTTTCTGTTATAAATCCTTGAAATTTTTGTTATAAATCATTCAAATAATAATTATATAGATTTATTCTACTCAAAAAGGTAGACGAAATAATTTATTACAGTTGAATATCTGTCAGTAAAAGGGGTCGTTTTTCTTATCTCCAGCTTTAACTTTATCTTTTCCTTCAGTTACCCCACCCCATCACCGACTAGATTTTCGAAAAGAGCAACTCTTTTTACCGCTAAATACCAATTGTGGTCTAAAAATTTTGATTAGGGCTCCGAGTTATAAGGACTTAAAACAGAAAAGCACGTAGGAGATTTAATAGGAAAATAATTTTATATAATATTTGTTTTAATTATTATTAATGTGATCAATCACAAGTAATCTAAACAGCAGATAAATATACTCGCCAAGGTTGAAGTAACGGGATTACAATTTTACATTTAATAATTGTAAAACGCTATAAAAATTACTCGCGCTGGAGTAATATACAATATACCTGGATGCGTTAACGTAACAGGCTAGAGCGTCTTTCGGTTGACTGACACTTTCGTACAATATCCCTAGATTAGTCCAAGCAGCTGAATGGGATTTGTCTAGTTGCACGGCGCATATGTAGGCTTGCAGTGCATCCATAGGCTGATTCTGCTGCTGATATAGTACCCCTATACTACACCACGTGTCCGCATTGCCTTCCGATTTTTCGACTGAATTTCTATCGAGCACATGAAGAACATTATTAGTTCCCAAGCAAAGAGGAGAAAATTATAAATAAATCTGTATAATATAAATATATAACGTGTATAATAAAAATGTGTAAAAATATATAATAGTATTAAATCTACAATACTTACCTTAATATTATATTCAATATCTTTGTATTACATTGGAAAATTTCTTCTAAAACTTGTAAAACGTCTGTTTTTTTGACTATACTCCTATACAAATATTACAATAAACAGATTATAATAAATAAATAAAAAATATAATAAATAAAAAAATATAATAAATAAAAAAGTATAATAAATAAAAAATATGAAAATAAATGTATTTTAGAGCATGCGTATATAAAAAGTTTTTTCTTTCAAATTTTGAAAAAAATCTAAAGCATTCAAAGAGGGTATCGAGAAAATTTTGTCTTAATAGAAAAAATGTTTAATTTTATTTTAAATAATAAAAATTGTTTTTAAACTGCGCGATGTCATTTTTAAGTTTACTTAACAGGAACTTTTCCATTTAATACAGTAAAAATTCACACACTGTTGTTTATTGAAATTGCAATGCCAGAAAGCCAACTTTAATCCTAAGTTCCTTTATTTGTTGTATAAAACGTCAAATTCGAAGTGTAATTGCAAAAAAGACACAATTATACATAAATCAAATAAAAAAATAACTCTTGTTAACTCTAGTTAAAATACGTTCCACAGTCTAAAACCTATTTCTTCGTGTTGCAATTTCAATTGACAGACTCGCATCGATATCATACCTAACTTTGGGGTGTCATTAAATAATGACCCATTACCTGTACGCGATAAACGCCTCATGCACTTTTCCGGAAGCGGCGAGACAACGTCCTAAAAGGTAAAGACTTTGTCCGCTTTTCGGCTCGGCATCGATGGACTGCTTCAGGCAATGGATAGCTATGTTTTGCTTCTGCGGCCTGCTGATGCCCAGCACCGTGCACTCAACCACATGGTACATCCATCCTGCACGAAAGAACAGATCCGAGTGATGCACGTGTCGCAATCTCGTCGTTATTTTCTTCTTTCCCCTGACATTGAAAACTGTCACGTCATTACCTCGACGCTACATGACGAGCTAGAGAGCTAGACTGAATAGACTCTCTCGCAGGTATGGCCCTATTGGCCTTAGGGTTGCCCCCGGCAGCAGTCGTTTTTACACGCTGGCTGCTGGCCCTTCTCTAGGGGGGCTGTCTCGAATTACCCCCCCTTCCCCTGCAAACATAGGCGCAGCAGCGCGAAAAACGACCCTCTCGACGAGACTAGAAAAATCCTAAGTGATTTTCGCGCAACGAGCACTTGTATTCGTCAGTTACCTTTGAATTGGCCGTCGAGTTCCAGAAAATGCTGATTAACGGTAAGATGTTTTATTAACTCTGTTCCCTTAGATCGATTAAAATCATTCAATTTTCATTAAACAAAGAACATAAAACACTGAATAATTATTTAAACCTCTCTCAGGACGCTTTTTTTCCTTTAGAATAGTATATTATAGTATTATGTAATATAATATTCCATAATATGTATCATAGTAAAAAAAAATAATATTAATCCTTTCGCGCGACCTCGATATAACTACGTTGATTTATGGCCGCTGCTTCTATTTCGCGCGATGCGTGTTTACCTGTTGATACCCACGGATTAATCGTCGTGGGAAAAGCGAGGCGTCGGCAAAAAGTTATTATTTGCAACAATAAATGCGCGACCGTAAATATATAGGTGAGCACGTGGCAGAACCGCACGTGGGAACTGGCCAAGTTAATAAATTCCTCCGATCGGTCAATTTCAACCTAATTACTCTTCCATCTATTCAAGCCTTAATAACTATTTTATTTTAATAACGAAAAAGAACATGAAATCCTCTTGATAATGATAAATTAGCAATAATTATTAGGCCTTCGCTTTCAATATTTGTCGTACATTTTTAGTTTATACTTTATTTCAATTCACGGGCGAGAACGTGTAAATTTCGAAATTCTCTCGGAAATATCGCCGACAGTTTGTTCACAAGATTAAAATAATCATCGACACGCACGACATGTATACCGTCGCTTCGCTTGCTCGTCTATACCTTTAATGTTATTTATTCACCTGGCGTATTTACCTGTCCTAAACGCCACATTCACATATGCGTATTGATTTGCAAATCTGCCTGCCTTTAAATTGGTCCACCTGGCCACGGTCGGATCCCAAAAGCTCGATTCGAGTTGAATCTGTCAGTCGGTTTAAAGCATTCAACCGATCTCTCGGAAAAACTTCTCTCAATAATCTCACGTTTAAAAAGATTAGTTTTCATTAAAAATAAAAACATAGTTTTCAAGATTGTATACATTCTTGTCTCTGATCTTCAGGAAAGGTTTCGTCGAAATTTTTGAAGGAAAGTAAAACGTGAAAATAAAACAATTTTTCGCGCATAAACACGTAAAAAAATTGTTGAACGCGTTCTTATATGAAATATTAACATCATTGTAATTTTTTTAAATTAAAGCGACCTTTTTACACAATTTAATTCTCTTGATTATTCCGCATAAAAGCATTAAAATAATCGTAAAAGAGAATTAGTTTACTTCTTTCTCTACTCTCTACTTATTGTTAGAGAAATTTACTTCATATTTTATTTTGATATATTTAGATATATAAAATATATATAGGATATATATGTGTATATATATATATATATATTCGTTTTCACTTTCAACTTTTACGCACAGAATAATAAAAAATGTTAGAAGTTAATTTTAAAAAGTGTGCAAGTTGAAACTTGCACATTGCTTCCTCATAGTTATTAAGTGTGCAAGTTGATGAAGCATTATTTTTTTCAATGTATAATTTTCAGTATTTATTTGTGTTGGCTTCCTCATAGAGGAAGCTTTGTGTGCGAAGGTTTCTACTTAAACACTTAAAAACTCTAATCAAGCAAGGTGCAAAATAATTCTCCGAAATTTCAAATGTGTGTAACACGAGATCTAATCAATCAAATTTTAATAAATTATATATGAAATAGGGGTAGAAAAAACTCAAAAATATAATAGAGTTAAAAATAGATCGCTATCTCAAATATTGAGAAAGATGCAGCGTAAAACACATTTTTCAAAAAAATGAAAATCTGCATAAAATCTATACCGTTTTATGGATTTTAATAAAATTTGAGGAGGACATACTTTCTATGATACTCTATTTGTGTGCCAAATTTCAACCCGGTATCTAAAAAATTGTAGAAGTAGATGCGTGTACAAAAAATCCGTACACACACACACACACACACACATACATACATACTTCCGGACATTTTTTACTAATACGATTTTTCGACATTTTAGAACATTCTAAACCTATTTCCATCAAAATCTCGAAAAAAAATTTTTTCACCATCACAAAGCTTCCTCTATGAGGAAGCAATGAATTAATCGATGTAAAAAAAAATGTATCTATAACTGGATTTAAAAATCGTGAATGCTATACATAAATGCTATATAAATATAATTGAAAAAAATTTTACTGTAATTAATGTGTGATGATAGGAGTTGAATTATTCCTTACAGCTATTCAACACACAGCTATTCCCGGCGAAACACATTGCAAGTCGAAAGAGAAAGAGAGAACGTTCCTCCTCGCGGAGGAAAAGAGAGCGGACGAAGGAGGACTACAAGACAGAATTCCAAAAAAAATGGAAGTAAAGCGGGACCGGTCGCTTCGCCGGGACGGTTCGCCGACACGCGAGGAGCCATAAACGAGCCGTAAAGTGGATGTCACGTTCGCAACGCTCGCAAACGTCCTCGAGAAAGCTCCGAAAGAAGAGAATAAGACGTGCGGACTTTCACTATGGAGCGATCCGTTCTGAAGGGTGAGAGAAAAACGCTCGACAGGCCTGAAAGCCCGAGACATACGTCACGTCGGTGTCGCTCGGAAAGTAATGTCACGGCGATTAACTTCTCGGAAAGCTCCAAGGACCTTTATTAAGATCTCTTTAGACGCACGCGGGAAAGGATCGAAAGAATGTTTTTATTTTAAAAGAAAGGAAAGTATGCGTCTCTAACTTGCTGACTTCCACGATCTGCCTACGTTTCCTAGTCAACAAGAGAAAAAAAAGAGATAAGGCCTCCGCGCGACTCGGCCTTAGTAAAGGTAGCGAAAGGGTGATTTTTCCTTTGGAACGTCGTGTCTTCAGCCTCACGGATTCGGCCGAAGGCTCTCAGCGGGCCGGCTGCACTCTGCCAAGTAGTCTGCAGACACGTGTATTGATTTATTCCGGGTTAGGGTGGACTGGGGATGAGACGGAGAGGCGCAACACGGGGAAGGAGAGAGTGAATGAACGAGGGACAAAGAGGGAAGGAGACGCAGCGTGAATGGGTCAGAGAGAGAGGGTGCAAGGCTCTAGTTGTGGGAAAACTATCCTTAGCTTCTGTTTCTCTCGCACCTGCCTTACATTTCTCTCCCTTCCTCCCGTTTCTATTCCAGACTGGCACATAGACTACCGAATCGCGACGGGATATGGCGAAGGACATTAAAGTGTCCCCCTAGATCTAGGATCGCGGAACCCCTCCGATATTTTCCAAAGTAACACGGAGTAAGAGTTGCAACGTCGACAACTATGATATTCTGTTTTCAATTATTTACGTTTTTACTTGATACTTTTTACGAAAACTATATTTTGAAATAACTATACATATCAATAAATAAATCAATTTAAAATATCAAAGTTATCAATTTTAGTAATCTTTGTTTTTATTTATTTTTTTATATAATGTCTTAGATAATAATAAGATAAACTAAACAGATTTCGACTAATTAAGTATAAATTTCAAACAAAGCAATAATTTTAACCCTCCGTAGTCACACCTATTTTTTCAAACAAGGAAGTCACTCTGGGTCATTTTGACCCGAGACGAACTTTGACCGTTCGCCATTTGACCATTTATCCACCGATCGTGTTGAAAAAATTCTCGAATGCACTTGCGATATTGCTAAATTGATTGCTATAAAAAAAGAAGGGCCTCAGGAATTTTTAACATATAAAAAAAAATCGCAAAAAATTTCTTTTAAAAAAATTTTTTTTTTAACTACAGCTAGAGGGCGTCATGCCCGCCAATTTTCAAGTTACGCGCAAGATATTTACAAGCAAAGTTGAGGCTCGGGTCAAATTGACCCGGTGTGACTACGGAGGGTTAAAAGAACTATTTATCTAATTATCATAAAATTATCGTAAAAATTTCTAACTTAATTTGGAAATTTAAAAATGCTTTTATTTATAATTAAAAGTTGCAAATAAATTTATTAACGAAACTTTTGTTCTTCTATTTCTTCTTACACCTCTATCGTAGCCTTCTCTGTATTAAATATTCACAGTCTACTCCTAGGGAATGTCTGAACTTTCAAGTAGAACTTTCCGAAAGTAATATTTTTGTTTCATATTCCTCTTTCCACAATACTTTAAATATTTATATATAAAATATTTACACACTCCCCCGAACTAAATAAAATGCGTCGGAACCTCTAAGTATTTCCGAACAACATCTTTCACCGTCCTTTTCCAGTAAGAGCTCCAATATTTACACAAATTTTCTTAAAAAGTCTAAATTTTTTTCCTCTAAAGCACAACAAATTAATTTATCTTTTTTCTAAGAAACAACTAGGAATCTTAATTAGCAATAGACTTACCTAGTTGACGGCAGATGTCGGCCTTCAAATGCAACGGCAGGACCTTCTCCTTCAGCAGAGCCTCGTAATGCTCCTTGGCCAGACGGTACTTGCCCTGAACCTCGTACAAGTGAGCAATGTGAAACTTGACTGCAACAAACACACGGAAGACGATTCCTCGGTGAACTTCTTGATAAAGTCATCAGTCGGTCTCTCTCCCGAGACTAATAGTCGCGAAAGAATTAAATTATGCCGATATGTACTCCGTCGAAGGCGAGCTTATCAGCCGGACTCGAAAGGAGAGCGGAGATCATCGATCAGGACTGATTCGAGGTTTGATTAATTTGCACTACGTCGATAAAGAGCAGCGAAGCGCGATAAGCACGTGCGCGAGACTGGCGCGCGAGCTAAGTTCAGCCGGCTATTTAAAAGCGCGACTTCCGGCGGGAAATTATACATTCCCGCGCGAAATTCTCAGTATCCGAGAGAGAAAGAGAGAGAGAGAGAGAGAGAGAGAATGATTCCCGCGCGAATCATCATGTGAAAAACGTGCAATTCGGAGTCATGATTCAGCCCAGTCATCGTCAACGTGACTCATCCGCGAGAAACTTCTGTACTCAGAAACTTGTTCTACATATATATAATCTGTACACGAGATGTAAAGAGAGGGAAATCCCCACGACGTCTGATTTGTGTGAACATTAATAACAAATTTCCCGATGAATTCGGAATCAGTTTTTTTCCCTCCGGGGAAAAAGGAGAGGAGAGGCTGCCGTTAATCGGGAGTTTCCCTTCTTCAAAATTAAAATTCCATTACAACAAAATTCGTGGAAATTAACGAAAAATGTAATCTGTCTCTGTAAAGGTTAGGCTTAAAATTTTTTGTTTCGATAATCAGCATCATTATCGCGTCACTTTACGAAAGATGTAAATCTCGTCAACTTCATTATTCGTAAGTTTATTATCGAGAAATATTCAGGTCAATTTTCCAGTTATTTTGATTAGATAAATGCATGTTATTGCCTAGTTGCTAATGGAACCGAAAGTTGGTCACGAGTTAGGGTCGTGCGCAAAAGATAGACAAGATTTAAAACCAGTAAAACTCGTATGACTGTTATAAATAACTTAAGTCAAATCACAAATCTCGTTACACTATCAAAAGAAATATTACCTACTTGTATTAGTACAAAAGCTACAATTCTCATAACAACAATATATCCACATATTTCTATAAGAGGATAAGATTGCCTCTTTATTGAAAAGGACATACTATTTCGCTCACATTCGCACAACATTCGCTATTATATTCGCACCATTAGAGATATGTTACTTATGTCAAAATAACAGGATAAAGCTGAAATTTACAGTGCACTTATATATCCTAAAAACCTGTGTTAAATTTGCGACCGATTGTCCGACCCGTTTCTGAGATATTTGCTTTAAAAGTTACAGAAATTGTATATATATATATATAGATATACTTCCCATGTAAATATCATAATATGTATCTCTGCTCACGTACGGTAAAAAATGAATAAAATTTTTATGGTATACTTCTATGACATCGAGAATTGCAATTACAGTTTTCTAAGATTTTCTGATTATATTTTATTTTTCAATTTTTTAATGATTTATTTAAACAATATCAAGTACAAAAATGGGGCAAAATTGCGATTTTTACGCTTTTTCTGTTCCAATATGATAACATGTTGTTTATGAATAATTTCTGAGATTAGCTCTACACTGTTTAATCAAGAAAACAAAATTATACTACATATAGCTATCTGACATACATCTTTAAGTTGGACCTCTTCATTTGTCATAGTCTACCTTCTTTAATTTCAGAAATAAAATATCATCTATTTAAGGAGGTTCTACAGATAATGGATGTATCTAAAAATTGGAAAAAACTTCATGGACGTATAAATTGAGATGCGAGAAAAGTGCTCGAAAAATTTTAGCATTGGTTATCGTGTAAAAATTTGCAAAAATGAATTTTGAAATCACAGTTTTTAACATGAGCTACATATGGCAGAGGGGCTCTTGGAGACAAGAAACGAGATATTAATTATATAAAGGCGACCTACCAGAGATTCAAAACACGGAGCTCTTATAGATCTTAATCTAAGCTTTTCAGAAATATCGAGAAAAACAAGGGTTATCGCGTAAAATTTTGTGATATTGGCTATTGAAACAGGCCATATCACAGTTCACGTAGCGTGCTTCGAATAACAAGGGAGATTTGGCAATGTCGCAGCGACTGCACCCGCGCGAAAAGTGTACAGCCAGTACAGCACCACAGTATAACAGCACCTCAAACTTAAGCACCTATAACGTTTACGAGCGCTTACGGAGAAGTACTCGCTCTAGAATTATGCGAAATTGTGAAATAACCACGGTCATATGAGCAAAACTGTCAAGTTCGCGACGTTACCACATTTTCTTCCATGTATAAGTCGCCAGAGTCAAAGGAGCACTTACACGATATTTTTAATTATTCCTTGCTTCGACTAATATGGGTATGATATAAGCTCTAACGTCATCAAAATTCACGAAAATATTTTATGAATACTTAGAATCGATGAATTTGAAGATTTTCTCTTCATCTCTCAACTGACTAGAGAGTACCTGTAGAACCTCCTTAAAATATTCTGTGTATACAGAACGTTAAAATGTTGATTAAAAAGTTTCTTGAAGAATTTCTTGTATTAAAAATCAGTCTTAACTTTTTTATTTGACAAATATTAGAGCTAAAGTGTCAAGCAGTTCTTTCTCACCACTGAATACACGATTACGCGAGAAGGAGTTATCTCGCTGACATGAGCATCAGGCAAAAAGCGGTCAAGTTCGGCGAAGGAAAGTGAGCGAGCGATTATAGAGTCGCGATGCGCGGGTTGTCGGCTGGAAATTTTCCGGCTAACGGCGCAGATAAAGGGACGAGCACTTACTCTCGAGCTTGGAGAAGGAGGCAGGTGTGGTGGCATCAATCAAAGCGAGGGTCAGGTGCTTCAAGGCGGCGTCGAACTCAGCGTGGACCTTCAGCATCAAGCCGAGCCGTAGGTGAACCTCGCAGGCCCGTGGAAATCCTGGTTCCACCCACAGCACCTGCTGGAACGCTTTCACGGCCCTGGAACGCAAGAACGGTGCAAGAACTGTTATTAATCAAGCAAACAATTAAATAAATTTTTGTTATATATAATAAATTGTTATATATAAATAATAAATTCTTGGATCATTGGAGTGAGTTTCTCTTTTCTTTTTACTTCTCGGTTCTTTTTGTTAATTAATATAGGTACCTCCACATTTATTATTTAACTTAATTTATCCTTTTACAGGCCAATCGCATTAGCCAACTTTTGTGCCACCATTCCCGTATGAAGCAACCTTTAAAACTAGGAATCCAAAGATGCTCATCCTTTCTGTCCAAGAACATGAGGTTTCTTATTTTATTTCTATTGTATCATTGGCTGCGTTCAGCAGAACGCAATAGTTTTTAACCGTTTTATGATTCTCTGCTGAATGATTCTAAGCGCACTCAAAGTCTCAATACGTTCACTCAGCGGTCGCCATGATTTTCAGCGAACTAAAAGTACGCTGTATCTCAAGCAAAAGTTATCACCAAAATAACTGCCTCCAGTGTATTAACATCGCTGAGAATAATAAATATAAATATAGGGGGAGTCCGGGAGACTTGACTATAGAGGAGAGTTGAACCACTTCAAATATCTCGTTCATATTTTGAACAAAGAGCTCAATCCGAGCACGTGACAACATGACGATTGGTGCGTTTCGACTGTGATTGAGACAAACGTGTTTTAACGTGCTTGGATTGAGCTCTTTGTTCAAAATTTGAACGAGATATTTGAAGTGGTTCAACTCTCCTTTATGGTCAAGTCTCCCGGACTCCCCCTACATATAAAAATATTATTTATAACGCAATAGATACAGTGGAAACACACAGAAAGTTACAAAATGGTATGTTTATATAAATATTAATATAAGAAAATAAAGAAATATATTATAATTATAATTTGGATATACTCGGGTTAGCACGCATATAACAGAATAATAGATTAAATCGTTAAATGTATACAAAATATGTAATACTTTGATGCATTATACTTATTAATTAAATGTAATATGTACTAACTCAAATTATAATATTACTATAATAAAATGTACATACCTTCTAATGATGTTTGTGATACATCTTATAATATATCATGCATTCCTACTATCTCTTGGTAATTTTCTTCAAAATAATTATTGAAAAAGTTTACATAAGTAGGGGAGACCGGGGCAAAGTCGGCCCTTTTTTTCGGTGCCAATTTTTAACAACAAAATAAATAATTTTAGTGAAATATAATATACCATTGTAAAGAGTGAACCCTTGGTTATAAATTTTATATAGGCATTTTTGGTCTACGTCGCTCTGTTCAACCGGTATAGAGTAAAAACGACAAAGGTGCCATGCAAAAATCGAAAAGTCAAAATTCCCGGGGCGGAGTCGTGTCTTCATTCTCGGACTGAATTTTAAATAAAGATACATAATTTTGATTATAAAAAATAATAGAATACACTTTATTCATTGTTTTTAGTAGAAAAATGGAAAACGGAAAATTTCAAGAAAATCAATTTTCTTTTTCGCTAACAATTAAAGCATGTAAAAACAGAGTCTGACGAGCGCACACACTCGTTGTGTGCCTTACGCCTGCACGAAATGCACTGTTTTTCATCGGCTCTGTTTTCTATTATCTCCGAGCATACGCAGCACATATTATTTAGCTTTCTTGACTCCGTTTTGGCTTGGAAACGACTTCGCCCCAAACACAAGTTTTAGGTTTGGTCGCTTATAAAATAATAGAAATCAATGAAAATAAAAAAACTGCACTGGATTCGTGTTCAACATGCATTACTCTTTAGAATCACTTACTTTGAGATTCAAAGAGACAATAATACTTAAGATATATTACAAACTTTCGACGTGGAAGAAATTTTACTTTCGACCTGCGAAAACACGTTTGCTTCGATAAGAATCACAACATGCACGTAACCTCACTAAACTCCATTGGTCCCGTGGGCACCATAAGCCGCGCTTACAGTATTAATGGCGAGTTCAGACAACATACAGATTTCGAGATAATTGCAAAAACGACATCGCGTAGTCCATACCACAGTCCATACTATATGTGGTTGACGTTTTGCTTGACAGCTTGACGTTTTACGTACTTTTAATTCTAAAAATTATGGCAACCGTTGAGTGAACGTGTTGAGACTTTAGGTGCGTTTAGAATCGTTCAGCAGAGAATCATAAAACAGTTGCAATACTGTTGTGTTCTGTTGAACGCAGCCGTATTATATCGCTGAAGATGGCTCGAAATAGAGCGAAAACGTTTATTTTTGGAATTCATGTGGAATATACATAATAAAAAATCAAAGAATATCTACAACTTCTACATCAACCGCTTTACTCTTATTGCCCCCCATTTAGTTCAAATTTTAAATAAATTGCGTTTTAAGACGCAATACAAGAGATAAAATAGTTGGAACAAGTTTTTCAAAGATGTAATTTGTGCATTTCTACAAAAATATTATTATAAATGTTTAATATACGTCAGAGTGTTTCCTAAGTAAGTACAAAAAATTCAAGGAATATTCCGTATATAGCTTATTTTAGGAAAAAAAGGTTCCATAAACATATGCCCTAAATATTGCTTCGTTTTCAAAATACCTACTGAGTATCAAAATTATTTTTAAAAAATGAAAATTTCGAAATCTGGAAAACGTTTAAAAATATTTTATTCAAACTTGATATGCGTACATGCGGTATTAAGAAGCATTTTCCAGTATCGCTGAAACATTTTTAGATCCACCAGAGGCGTGCGTCTTTGACACTCTGTATTTTGAAAACAAAGCAGTTTAGGACATATGTTTATAAAACCTTTTCTTCCTAAAATAAGCCACGAAATATTCCCCTCAATTTTTTGTACTTATTTAGGAAACACCCTATATTGCACTGTGTTTCGCACGCAAATTCAATGAGGAATTGCTCGACGATTTTTTAAATCAAGTTTCCCCTTTGCAACGTAAATGTCAGAAAGACTCAGAGTTATTTGTTTTACGGGAAACTTTTCGATCTAAAGGCTGATCTACAATGTGCTCTTTACTTTCTGTTTTTTGCTCTTAATCTCTTTGCGACTATCTCGTATTTCGCAATTCCGTCGTGTAATGTGATGTTTCTTGTCTCTTCTGAAATTCGTCAATTTTTATCTTGGGCGACAGAGAACAAAAAACATCGCGTTACGCGACGCAATTGCAAAATACGGGATAGTCGCAAACAGGTTAAGAGCAAAAAACAGGAAGCAAAGAGCACATTGTAGATCAGGCTTAAAAGTTTCCCGTAAAACAAATAATCAATAGAGAGAGAGAGAGAGAGAGAGAGAGAGAGAGAGAGAGAGAGAGAGA